TTTAGCTAATTGATTAACATTTAAGAAAAATAAAATCATATCATGTCAGTTATGCACGTTTACTTCGTGTATATATTCTTTCGAACCATTTAAACTTCTGTTCAAGAGTACATATATTGTGCCACATTTCTCTTTTCCTTATTAAACCAAGATAATCTATAGTAAAGTCATGAAAATCATCATCAATTGAAACTCCAATAATTAAATAGAGCTTAGCTATCACCTTGGGAATACTACAGCTTTCTTGATCCATATTCCAAGAAGTTGAATCACTCTTAGTAGACATACTCTCAAGTAGTTGATCCCATATTGACATCTAAATAACAATTCTAGACTTTTTTTTCTTTCTACCTCGACCCTCAGAAGGATCTCGTTCTTTTTTTTTGCCACTACTCTTGTTGTTGCTGCTTGACATATTCACCTCACCAACCATTTAAGACATATCAGTGTCTAAATTTGGAATCCCATCCTTCTCTAAATCACCACTTTCTTCTTTGAAATTAGCACCATTAATATTGACTTTGCTTATGCTAGGATTGATATAATTGCCACCAAATACTCCTGACGGAGCCTATGCAAACTCTTTAGTTGCAACAATGTTGGAATATATTTTGTCAAATTTAATTGTCAAAGACAGTTCAATACTGTTATGTTTGAATTTTTTATATATAATAAGTATATTGTCAAAGACAGTTCAATACTGTTATGTCTGAATTTTTTTGCTCCCCTAATTTCTTATATATAATAAGTACAAGTAAGTAATGTAGGATTATGCATTGAACATTTTTCAAAATTTGACAACAAGAAATGAAATTGTTAGGATGACAAAGAATTTACTTGAATTTTTGCTTTTTACCATTCATCGTTAGCTGCAATTGTTTGCAATTCACTATTCTAACCGATACCAGTTTCAGAAACCAGCTATGTCCATATCCTCCAAGCCTTTTTGCATCCATCCCATTTGTTTTTCAGCAGTGCTTTCATGAATGCATGACCAATTTGCTCTTTGAATGATGTTACAAGAAATTTTCACCCTGTTTAATCAAAATGAGTATTAGGTCTCATTTTTATATCAATGACTTTAATGTATAGATCACAAAATATATGCAACATTTTCTTTGTTCAAGCAACCTTATCTAAAGGTTCAAGACCTTTCATGATATCTTTTAAAATATTAAACAATAAAAACAATAAATAATATTCATTACTTGAAGGGACAAATTAATAATATCAATAACTGTGAATTCAACCTCATATTCTTATGGTGAACCTGAATTCCATATCAAACAAAAAAAGACAAACAAATATTAGAAATCAAACAGTTCTAAAGTAAGTTTTTACTGCAAGGTGTTTTCTTTACAATTGCTAAATATTATTTTTCTTAAAATCCACAGTTTTGCACCAAAAATATGATAAGAGCAAGATTCAAACGAAGTTCCTGATAAATTAAAACTGAAGAGCATGTTTTGATTACCCGAAACCTAAAGCACAGTTCTCTTAATAAATCAAGATCATCACCAGATAAAACTATATATAAAAGACAACTTCCCGAAACCTTGAAATCCACCAACACTACAAAGAAAACTGATTAACAAAGTCTAAGTAAAACACAACAAGTTTGAATGACAGATTAACAACAAAAAGAGCCCGACAAGAGTTAAACAAAAAAATTGATCTATAAATCAAATAAAAAATCTCCAAATTAGCACTCAAAACCCAAAATGGCAACTATATAATTTCTTCAACATACAATTTCCATTAAAAATCAAGATTTCAGAAACAAGTTACCATTTTTAAGCTTGTGAACTAGCCAAAACAGAAACAAAGAAACACGAAGAATTAAATAATGAATGTAAAGAACATGACTTATTGTTATAGAAACATATTCAATGCAGAACAACATATATACTTATGCATAAGAAACAAATGAAGCGGTATAGAAATTAAAAATTTAGAGCTAGATGAAAAAAAGATTGAGATAAAGCAAAAACTTACGTGTTTCTCTCTCTTGTGACTTTTCCCAGCACATGTGTGCTTCATTTTTCTACAAACGAAAACAATAGAGATTGCTTGATATAAATTATTTTGATAAAGGTGATCTGATCTTCATTTAATAGAAAAAAGAACAAAAAGAAACAAGGATGAACACTGTCTCTGGCGTCAATCTTAGTCCAGATCAAGGGAACAAAAAGGATGGACATAAAGGAGACGAGCTCGGGTTAGAAAAGTTTTGTGTTAAATTTTTATCCGACAGAAGAAGAGAAATAGAGGAACAAGGATAAACATTATCTCTTACATCAATTTTTGTTTAGATAAAGGGAATAAAAAGGAAGGGAATAGAGCTAACAACTCAAATTGGAAAAGTTTTGTGTTAATTAATTAGTGTCGATGAGAGAATTAAAAACAATGGTAAATTGCTTTTCACAAACTGATATCAAACCTCAGTTTTTAAGTGGGATCCACGTAAAATAAAAGTATGTTTTAAGTTTATCAAATATCTCAATCCTAAGTTTATTTTCAACAGTAGCCGCAACATCTAACAGCTATTTAGAACCCATTTTGTAGCATGGTAGCGTCCACGTTTCCTGTAGTTTCATTTTACAAGCTGGTTGATTAATTAAACAAATTCTTATTCATGAGTCCCATGGTCTGCTGTGTTTGAAACACAAGAAAAAAAGAAGCAATTCCTGCTAGGCAAAATGCTGAATTGTGCTCCACTGTTCATTGAACAGTGGAGGCATGTATTACTATTTATATAAATAATTTGTTTTTAAAAAAATTAGTACAATTTAATTTGCACTGTTTACATGAAACATGAATAATAATTTATGTGAATATGAATAATAATTTTTTTTTTAAAAAAAAATTAGTTTAAGGTAAATTAAATTTACTCATACTGTAATTTTAATTTTATTCCTGATAATATTTTACCTAATTTTATAATTCTTATCAAATGAATTTTATACGTAATAGAATTATAGATAGTTTAATGAAATAATAATTTTTTTTATATAAAGTATAAATTATTTTGATAAAGGTGATCTGATCTTCGTTTGATAGAAGAAAGGACAAAGGGGAACAAGGATGAACACTGTCTCTGACGTCAATCTTAGTCCAGATCAAGGGAACAAAAAGGATGGACATAAAGGAGACGAGCTCGGGTTAGAAAAGTTTTGTGTTAAATTTTTATCCGACAGAAGAAGAGAAATAGAGGAACAAGGATAAACATTATCTCTTACATCAATTTTTGTTTAGATAAAGGGAATAAAAAGGAAGGGAATAGAGCTAACAACTCAAATTGGAAAAGTTTTGTGTTAATTAATTAGTGTCGATGAGAGAATTAAAAACAATGGTAAATTGCTTTTCACAAACTGATATCAAACCTCAGTTTTTAAGTGGGATCCACGTAAAATAAAAGTATGTTTTAAGTTTATCAAATATCTCAATCCTAAGTTTATTTTCAACAGTAGCCGCAACATCTAACAGCTATTTAGAACCCATTTTGTAGCATGGTAGCGTCCACGTTTCCTGTAGTTTCATTTTACAAGCTGGTTGATTAATTAAACAAATTCTTATTCATGAGTCCCATGGTCTGCTGTGTTTGAAACACAAGAAAAAAAGAAGCAGCTAGCAGCTGTTGCTAGCTGCTTCCTGCTAGACAAAATGCTGAATTGTGCTCCACTGTTCATTGAACAGTGGAGGCATGCATTATTATTCATGTGAATAGTTTTTTTTAAAAAAATTAATACCGTTAATTAATTTCACTTGCACTGTTTACGTGAAACATGAATAATAATTTACGTTAACATGAATAATAATTTTTTTTTTAAAAAATTAATTTAAGGTAAATTAAATTTACTCATACTGTAATTTTAATTTTATTCCTGATAATATTTTACCTAATTTTATAATTCTTATCAAATGAATTTTATACGTAATAGAATTATAGATAGTTTAATGAAATAATAATTTTTTTTATATAAAGTATAATTTATTTAATAATATAATACTAATAGTTAAATTCATAATATTTAAATTAAAAATTATCAATATTAATATATATTTTTTAAAATTATTTTATAACCTTAATTTTAAAAGTATTTTTAATCAAACATATTAAACTGTTTTTTCTTCGATCTTAATTTCAATCAAATATTTATTTTTTAAATTAATTTTAATTAAAAATATTTTTTATAAAATAATTTTTTTAAATTATAATTACAATAATAACCATAATACCAAACATAATTTTAGCATATTAATTTAAAACTTAAATGACAGGTTTTATACATTAAAAAAAACCTTAATTTATAATTGATATAATTCAACCTGCTAAATCTACCCGTCAATCCCAGGTGAGACCTGATTTACTTTTTTAAAAATCCCTAATTTAACAAAACGGTGCAATATTGTTTTTGGTTTATTCTTGACTCGCGAAAAAAATTAAACTCATGACAAACTGATTGACGAATGAAGGAAGCCAAAGCTTCTCTACGATGCCCAAGATTCGGCTGGGAGTCGCCGGTCTCGTCTGTGAGGTGGACAACAGACACCGAAGACAAGGAAGAAGCAAAAATCTCTTGTTAAGAATCAGAAAAGAAAGACGCCAAGTCGCCAACAATGGACACAAGGGAATTATACGGAGATGTAGTAAATAGTGACAAAATTTAGTGAAAATCAGCGGATCTTGCTGATATATGACAAAAACTAGATTTGAAAAAATTAGAGAGAGCGAAATGGGAAAAAATTATTTATTGAGATTGAATTTATAATGAGAAAGAAAATAATAGTAAAATTTAAAGAGACAAAAAAAGAAAAAAAATGGATAATAACGAGGGGAGAGAGGAGGCAGGGAGACAATGGCGAGAGTGGGGTTTTTTTTTTTCCAGGGTTGGCTAAAGTTAATCTAGTTAACTTGGAATCCGATTATTGTGCCGGGTTACTAGTGCAAGCTGGCAAGGTTTTGTAATTGCAAAATCTATCCGGGGACGTAAATATAATTTACCAAGGGCAAATTTTATAATATTACCCGCACCAAATTATTTTCATGTTCCCGGCTTCAAAATCAAAACCGGTGGTTCTGCGCGCGATTACTGCGGCAGCCCCAGAGCGATTTTAGAGTTAACTACCAACCGGATTTTTCACCTTCCTGGCTTCCATTGACGCTGATCTGATTGATCAACGAATCCGTTACTTTGCTTCACTTTGTTATTGTAAGCGATTTGTCTCTCGTTTTTATATATTAATACTGTCATCATCGGTACTTTAAGAGTATTATAAGTTGTTCATGATGTGTTAGTGTAATTTGGAATCTAATTGTTAATTTCATCCAGTAATTTGACATGGATACGGGATTTGAATTTCAATAGGTAGAGTTGGATTTGTATCTTGTGAATTTGATTAAAAGAAAGAAAGATTAAGGAGTGCTGAAATCCCGAATTTACGAGTTCATATGAAGTAGTCTCAAAACTGTTCTGCTGTTCATGCGCGAGCTAACATGTTATCTCGAAGATCTTGTGATTGTAAGCGATACATTTATTGTTATCTCTTAGATGCTGAATTGATTGCAACAAATGGACGGGGTTTTAGTAAATTAATAGACAATTCGAGGGGTCTAAATCTCAATTCTTGAAATGTAAGAGATCTTTTAACTTGATCTGTAGTTGAAAGGTTTCCCTCGCATTTTTGCCCCAATATTTCTCGTGATTCCCATCGATTATTCATTCATGCCTAAATGACTGGATTTCAGTTAATTTGTTGCCATATCATTGAATACCTATATCAAGCAGGTATATATAATTGTGGTTCACTTTAATGATTGGTAGGTTTTCGATTGCATAACTTTGGATGGATAGAAGAAGTAGAGGAATTTTAAGAAGAAATCTACTTGATAATTGGCGAGAATCCAAATCTCGGATTGGGAATTTTGGAGCTTGGGGTTCTTGGATCATTTTTGGAAAGAATTCAATCTTGCTTGCATGCATGATATTTTAGAATTGTAAGATGATAGAGCGGGTTTGAATCCATGACAAGCTATGTGGATTATTCAGTTCTTGTACCATTTTTGGGAAGACCATCAGATCAATAATAGACTAAGATTTTACTTCTGCTCAACAACGCGTTGCAGTACTTGTTTCGAAGAGTTACCTATTAAATTCAAAGATCTCAAGCTATTGAGTTGTAGCTCAACTAGTATTAGTTTTCTCCTTCCCCTCGAAAGTTCTTGAATTCAAACCTCTCTATTGTAAAAAATGAAAAATGAAAATGAAAAGAATACTCAAGAGGAGTCTGTTTGGAGACGTATAGTTAGTGACAATTCTTGAGTCTTCTCTTTTTTTTGTGGTCCAATTGTTGGATTACAAATAGAAAGTAACCCTCCAATCTCTCGATACCTCTCATTTTTATTCCAGTGAGATTCACCTGTTGGAGAAAGTTAAGTGACTTTAATTGGCACCTGTTAGGAATGGTTGAGAATTTAAGACATTGTAATTAGTACCCTTGATAATTGGCATGTGATGTTATCACTCTGGCCATGATGTGGCACTAATTTGTGCCAAGAATGATTTGCCTTTTGTATTCTGCATGATGTTCCTTCAAACCTTATTGCATCTCCTTGTTTACAGATGATGGGCTTAATATTAATAACAGTCCTGATGATTATAGTAGTTTTATTTGCAAGTGATCTTTTGAGAACATAAATATTGAACCCAGCAGAATCACTGGCAAGATCTTGGTGATATCGATTTCATAATGTTGAGTTTGATAATTTGGTTGGAAAAGCAGGTTTTATTTGAGATGGATATTCGAAAAAACATGTTACTTACTTTCCCGTTCTTCCAGTTTATTATTTTCAATTTCCAACTGGGGAACTGTATCTAATGTTACTCGCATGGCTGCTTTGGAAAACAGCATTTTTTCTGTGCTGTGTTTTGAGCAATGCGCTTGGAATAAGGTTTGGCACCTTCTTGGTGGATTGCAATTGTTGATTAAATTTTTTTCTATGATTTGTTGTTTTTATTACTCTTGGTAAGAATATATTAACAAATGGACTGCTTATAATTTCCGCCAACATCCACTAGGTTAGATGGAGAAAAAGTTAATTGTAATCTGCATAATGGATGTTTTTACCAATTTTCTGTGATTGTGCTCCACGTTTGATTGCTTTGATTTGGAAATTCCTATTTGGCATCATACTCCATAATTAATCTACTGTTTCTATTTCAGTTGCATTAATTCCTCTTTGTAGATAAGTTGAAAATGTGTTTGAGTTTAGGGAGGATCATACTGGAGCCACATCCAATGGTATAGATTCTGCTGGTCCATGAAAACAGGCGTCATCATCTTTTCTTGAAACTTAAGCAGCAAGTCTTCTAAGATGGTCATATGACTGCTTGTAAGTTTTCTAAACTAATCCTGAAAGATTTATTCCCTTTGTATGCTCACCTTTATCAAATAGTAGCATTATTCCACAATAGTGATGTAAATATTTCTTTAAAATCAACAATTAAAACATTTATAACAACTTGCAGGCCAAATTCAGAAACTCTCAATATCAGTCTTCTAGAGCTTGAAAATGATAGATTACGTATAAGAATAATTATTAATTGTAATAGCAATAGAGCAACATCAGTACTAATCATGCATGCCAGTTGAGATCAGACTGATATATCTAGTCACTGCGTGCAAACCTATCCTTCGACTATGACATGTACATGTTGCTTCTAAAAGGTTTTTCACGGGCTCTATGCAGAAATTACTTTAGCCTTCTGTTAGTGATAGCATAACCATTAGTTGCATTACATGTTTGCATGTATTACGTGGGCATCCATTGTATTGTTTCTATTGTTCTTTTTGAAGTTAAAATATAAATTAATGCAACAAAGGATAAAGTGAAAGGGAAAGGGGGCACTAACATGGTCAAAAGGGTAGGCAGAGTGATTTGTTTACATGCTAGTGTAATGTAAGCCATGAACTGGACTTGTCTTTCTTAACAAAGGCTTAATTAAAAATGTATCATGGGAAAAAATCAAGGGGCCAACTTTTGGCTTCACTGAAGGCCAAAGGGACATGACGTATTCTAAGTTAAAGATTCTCCATTACTTAATACAAAATCAAACAAATTTTTATGGATTCTGATGCAAATTTCACTCACTCTCTAAGTCCAAAAGGGCCTAGGCTTAAATAAAATCAAAGAAACACAAATTAGATTCTGCGGCAAAATTGATGCTCTGTTTCTCTCTCTCTCTCTCTGGCGCACACAACTATAATTAGCTCATAAATAAAGAATCTTTGTACCAGGAAAAAAGGCTTGAAAAGTATGCTCGTTTAGAGCTACCAAAGGTTACTATACTTCTTTATTTGGTTAAGCAGGGTGATACTTTAGGAGCTAGGACCATATGCTCTATTTTCGTTTTCAATATCTAGATATAAGGGAAAGAGTGCATTTTTTTTGGGACGAATAACCTACACTCAAGCACCATGCTAAAAAAAAGATAAAAAAGGGCCCTTTTGATTATTTAGAAGTGCTGATGTGTTGCTACTTGGTTGTTTTCGAAGAACCGTTTCAGTGATGATAGCGTGGGGAGAGAGAGTTGTGGTCGCCAGAGTTTTAAATAATGGCATGTTTTTGAAGTGTGATGTTTCGACTTTCTCACATTACCTTAAGGGGGAGGTTGTGCTGTACTCGCACTACATTTCTCCGTGACTGGTGTTTTATAAATCATCGTCATATATCAAGTTGATTATTTTGTTGTTTCCCCCTCGCTACGCGTCTCAGTGGTAGTAAATTAAAGGACATGATCCGATAAAAAGGGGAAAACAGCTCTGGAGAAAAGAATTAGAAATATGCTGAACCCAAATAAATTAAGCAAGTTTTAGAACTTTTAAAGTTCATTCCATACTCTTAGCAAGGTGCTTAGCTCTATTCACAACTAGCTACAGTGGTGGGGACTTGGTAAAAACCAATTAGACTTCAAGCAATTCATATGCTACACAGCTCAGGAGCCTCAATATGGAGGCAAGAATATTTGCTCAGATGGGACATGTATACTCTCTTTACATTCATAGCAATCTTTTTTATCGGAGATCCATGGTTATGGCCGTAGTTCTAAGAAAACCACAAACATTTTGGTTCAAATTTTTGACCTAGAAGAGCTCCTCGATCATTTCATTATCAATTACTTGTGGTGTCATCCTTCCTTTCTTTGACGAGTAGACAAGCAAATAAAGAAAACAAAGGATAATATGAAATGTAGGTTTTGTGACCTGGAACTTCTCATACGCTGAATCATGTAAAATTTGTGAAACATATATCAAGGCATCGCGGGAAAGAAAAGGGAGACATGTATCCAACTTTGACAAAGACCAGGTGAAACTGGCCATTTACTCTTCCAAGTACAAGGAAATCAGAAACCATGAAGGAAAAGGGAAGACCATAAAATTGACTGTTATTCAAACGTATGGCTTGGCATGTATATCCTTCTGTTCTCGATATCGACTAGCATGATTGGGGAGGTCATAACCGTAAATATCTAAAATTAGCTGGGATACGAAGTATTTTCTCATGTATCCTTCAATTCTCCTCACAAAGGCATTCAAGGGATGCTTGCAGGTTTCGTTTTCCATTTCCTGACGTTCTTAGATTTATTAACCAAAATATTGAAATGAAGAGGAAGTCCATGACCGTTAGCAATATAGAATTCTAGTTAGATAGGGGAAAGAATGCACTTGATCATGCTTTACAATTAACACACCAAAGAAAGAAAACATGCTAGTTCATGCATGTGTAATCACAGAAAGGCAACATGTGAAAGCAATATTTTTGTACTGTACGGGTGCATGTGATTCACTGATGCCATTTTCTCTCTTTTTACAGTAAATGATTTAAATGAGGTCTCTGATCTCCAACCTTGGAAGCCTCCCACAAGCTCAAGTGGCAAAAGAATGCTAGCAGCAACTTTTGTTTAGGCTAACGAAACCTGGGGGTTACTTTTAGCCAGTAGGTTAGGTCATTTTGTAGTCCGCCCACATGGATTAGGGTTCACAGAGAGGCATGATAGGATTCATGGGTTAGCACCTAGCAGACAAACAAAAGGTCTTGTTAGTGGAGGATCATTTCTTTCTTTTTCAGAGGGCTTTAACATGCTTGCATAAGCAGTCCGTACGATTGGTGTTAGCTTGTTAGCTGGACAAAATATGGATCAAATATGAAGGCATAATATTATATAAAATGATGTTAACATAAACCAAACCTAGAACTATTGATCAAGCATGGCATGCTAGAGTTCCATCGAGAGGAAAACCGTACAATTTTTTATTTTTTATTTTTTTACAAAAAACATGCAAGCTTGAATTCTGTGAGTTTGAATTAGTTGCAATTTTACAGTGCACAATATCATAGCCATGATTGAATAATTGGCAAGCTAACATGCCGGTGGGGTCTCACCATGACATTGCCTGCCTTTAGATCCATGGTGGGGTCCGGAGCTCTTGATTCGGCCAGGCCGGTTGCTCCATTACTAATGTCTCTCTCTCCTCTTGTTTTTTCTTGGTGAAACATACTTATTGAGCAATAAAGCATGGATTCTCTGTGCTGGTCAAACCAAGCCTTGATTTTTTTAATGTTAATCTTTAAGGTGACAATTGTTTTAATTTTGCTATGGAGCATAATTTTGTTGCTTGTTCTCCTGGGCGGAAATTTGGAGAGTAGGATTTTTACGAATCTGTCCGGCATGAATGGTGAGCATTTATGTAATTTGACACGTTAGCTTCAAATTTCAAAGAGAGTGTGCTGATGCTTTCTTCTCATTTTATTTATTTGAAATGCAATCAACGTAGATATTGACTTTGAAGACATGAATCATCAACATCATCATCTATGAGAGAATGGATAGTGTGGTTTCTGTCCTGATAAAATACAATAAAGAAAATGAAGAGAGGGGGGAAAAACATCACCATCAAAGTATCAAGAAATATATGAGAGAATCCTTTGTTTTCTGGCTTTTTGTTGGCTTTCTTTTGGAAGGACAGAAAAGGGAATAGAGGAGCTCGTAATTTTTTGGAACCGTTGCTGCATCCCCCTCTCGCTCTATTTTTAACTACACTCTTGCGGCATGCCTTCACAACGACATCCTAACCAAGCCCGCGTAAATCTGTTTGAGATGAGAGATCGAGGAGGAGGTTTATTCCTGTAATTCGAAGATTCACAAGTCAAAACCAAAAAACATGAATGTTAAAAATAGTCTCTGATCTTTAAACTCCTCCCGACTCACACATTTTTGTTTCTATTATTCTCTTTTTCGTTGTGTGGCAAATTATTAAGACTTGTTATATTCAAGTGGCGTAAAAAGGTCCCCTCCCCGCCCCTGTCCACTGTACCTCCTAGCACTTTTTGAGACTACAAATTCACGCCCCACGCCTCAGTTATATCTCATGTTCAGTGGTCTCCTCTCCCTCTTATCTCTCCCTCTCTCCCTGCCTCTCTCAGCAAAACAAGAGCTTCTTAACCCCGAAGCCAAACTCCTCTGTTTTTGCTCTCCTTCCATATAATCTTTGGCAGGTTTCTTGCAAGTTCTTGTTTGTATCTGTCACATAACCTGTACAAATAGCTTACGCAATGGCAACTATGGTTTGCCAGGGTTTGCAGTCTTGCCTCGAGTCTGCTATTGTTGAGTCAAGAACACTAAGACTTAGGTTATCTTCACCAAATCTCTCTTTCGCTCAACCCCTTGAACTAGCCTTGAAGCCTTGTTTATTAGATTCTGATTCCAAAGAAGTGAGCGGCAAATGCCACTATGAGGAAACTAGCCACAAAACTAGCTTCCTCCATGATATGCATACATCTTCAAATCCTGATTTGGGTGGCTTGAGCTTCCTGCAAGTTCTCTCCACCAGCACCGAAGGTCCCAAAGAATCAATGGGGAAAGGAAATATATACGTTCATCCCCTAATTAATCGTTCCTCTTCAATGCTCAGTGGAAAGAGCCTGGAATTATGCACGGAGAGTTTAGGTAGCGAAAGTGGTAGTGATATGATTGAAAGCAGCATTTTCTCGTTGTCTTCATCAGACCCAAGAGTAGGGAATTCTCCAGCTGGGGAGCAACAGAAATCGCGTCAACTTTTGGGAGCTAAGAAAGCGAGTTCTCGTAGCTATCCACCTCCCTTGACAACGATGAGTGGATCAAAGTCCCTGCAAGTTAGGGCCCACCGCGGAGATGGAAGGTTGATAATCAGAGCCGTTGAGGCTCCATCAAGACACACTTATTTACATGCTGAAAGAAGGGATGGCCGCCTTCGATTAAGCTTTATCAAAGATTCCACTTATGATTTTGACTCAATAGGCGTAGCTTCCACGGAAAAAGATGAAGGCACCAGCAAAGAAGATGAGATTGAGAATGACATGGATTATGATGAAGTAGATGACTCGGATGTCGAGGAATTAGGAAACGTCGGTGCATGCTTTGAAGAAGAGGCTGAGAGCACTGATGATTTGGACGTTGATGCTGAGATGGGAATGGAGGAGTTTCAAAGACCAACAAGGTGCAAAGAAGGTGAAACGGAGAAGAAAGGATTGTTAAACTGGGAACCTTTTTGGGTGGCTACATCATAAAGTTTTATTTTGGATCTCTGTAGTATAATTAATCAATTTCTACAATTCTCAGTTTGTCCCTTCCCCTTTTTGTTCCCTTTCTTTTTCGAATAGAATTTCTCTTTTCTCCCATGAGTTAACCTGTTAAGAAGTAACATGCTTGTAGTAGGTGGTT